CTAACCCTTACGCTAACCCCCAAAAAACCCTTAAAAGCTCAACTCGTCAGAACAACGGCATGCATTCTAAGGCAGGGATGCCTTTTTCGGCAGGGATGCGTTTTTCAGCATAACATCGGGATGGCGAGAATAGATCTCGCAATATGAACACTATTGGGAAACAAACGCTCATGCTCTCTCCACCAGGAAAAGACGTCAAAAGAGTTGTTTTCGTTATCTGAGATAACTCCGAAATTCTCGGACTTGATTTTAGTGGAGGTATTGGCCACAACTTTAAACTCTCCACTTGCTAATTTTCTTTTCAACTCCTCAGCATCCATTTCGAACAGTTGCAGGAGATCGCATGCGCTTTTGAAAATGAAAGTGGGAGAGATTTCCGGGAATGCGCGTGCAGGCGTAAACTGACATGGATTTTACATTTTTTCATCTTGAATGCAGGGATTTTTTTGTGTCATTAAAATATAACCCTAGGGTATTTTTTGTTGGCACATGATGTTTTGAAAACCACAATTTAGACCCGCGCTCTCCTGCGTCCGACCCGAACCCGTATCCGACACAGTAGAATATTTTTCACCCGTTTCATCAAAATTTGCGGGTCACCCGCGGGTACCCGAACCCATGCAGGACTCTGCCTGGCAGGACCTTTATGGGAGAGATAGTAATGCATACTAATAGATGGAGTTATGACACTAGTCTAATTGTATTAGTTTTGTCGCTTTTGGGTCTGTCTTGTTTTCTGCTTACCTACAGTTTACAAAACCAACCTGTGTTTTTAATATAAGCTAAAACCAGGGAAGCTACCTGAAATGTTTTCATATTTTTTCTATAATTGCAGATTTGCACAATAAATATTTTATGTTCACGACTACTTTGAAATGTGTTAACATTTTATTATACAAATTCCTGGTGCAATGCCTTTGCTATGGACATATGTTACCCTTTCAAAAACAGTTATATTGGAATTTACAGATCAAATTATATACCGCAATACATACCGTCTACCGTCTATGGTTCAAATTATACCGCAATATGAATTTTATGCCATTTCGCACAGCCCTAACTGCCCCTATAGTGAATTTAAGCCGGATTTCACATATGTAAATGTTCATGATTGTGTCAGCTTCAGACCTACTCAGATACATTAGAGTGGCACCCCTGGAATAGAAACAAGTGCTACATATTTCAAAAATAGCGCCATCAAAAACTTTGCTGGGTTACGTATAAACATTTAACTTATGTGAAATCAGGTCTAGTTTCTTGTTGGGGGGGGGGGGGGGGCTATATTATAAGCCCAGCAAACTATTTGCTGATGCTTATTTTATATATCTGGCACTTGTTTCTATTGCAGGAGAGGTACTATAATGTATCTGAGTAGGTTTGAAGCTGACACAATTTAGTTTTCTGTTATGCATAAACATTTTACCTATGTGGAATCAGGCATATATTCACACTACAGTTAAAATCCAGCAGTCTTTTTGCTGTTGCTTATTTGATATATCTGGCACTTGCTTCAATTCAAGGAGTGTTATTAGAATGTGTTTGCATAGGACTCAAGCTGGCACAATACAATGTCAATTCAATTCCATTTTATTTGTATGCCACATTTTCACAACATTTGATTGTTTCAAAGCACTTTACATTATCCCTGCTCAAAGCACCCAGTGAGCAGTGGGTCTATTTCACCTGGGCAGCACTGTATTTAAAAGTCAGCAAACTTTGTGCTCATGCTAATAAGAGATATGTGTCAGTTGTTTCTATCCAAGCAAACTTACTGTAAAATACACTGGAAACCACTTATAGGGATCACGGTTATTGTGATCAACCGGTTATATGGATCAAAAAGCTTGGGACAGAATCATCCCTATACAAATACTGTTAAATAATTCACTTATAGTAACCAATTTAATTAAATAAGACTACAACTTAAAAAAGGAATGCATAAACTTGCATACATTTTTTCACCCATGTTGTGCAATGCAATTACAAAAACAATTAGCTGTACTCAATATGACATCAGAAACATATAAACACAAGTTCTATATTTTTATATAAAAAGATTGACCCTCAATGATGATGTTAAAGATAAAGAGTGTCTAGTTTGATGTCATTAATGTGTTACAGAAGCTTGTGCTGAAACACAGTAAGGACATCATACTGGATTGTCAAGACCAACTACATTTTGCCTACCACTGCAACACATCCACTGCATTACTCTCCACACTCTCACATGTTCAAGGTGCCTATACATTCACCATGGATCATTTGCTTATATTGCAAAACATATTAATTTGCTTTGGAAAAAAATTTATTTATATATAAATGTGTGCATCCATCGATCCGTCCATCTTTCAACCGCACACCCAGTTCTGGGTCTTGGGAGGGGGCTGTAACTTAGGTAGGCATTGTTACTATAAAAACTAAACATCTGAATTTTGTCTTCATAACCCAGTTATCAACTTCTGGCTGTGGTAGATGTTATCAGATTGTATATGTTTCCTTTTACTAACGTAATGCAACACCAAGAGACAAACGCAGCCGGTGCACAGCCTTTGTGAAAAGGTATTTGTATTGAACCTTCTCTGTAATGCGATTGGCTGAGCGCGAAAGGGGGGGGAGGCGTGGTAAAGTAGAGACACTATTTACGAAGTCACGAATGTGAGCGACATCGTCCTTCAGATATACCATGGTCTTCTAAGTGAATCTAATTGGCGCTGCTAGTGGTTGAGAACCACGCTTTGTCGAAAAATCAATAAACATTTAGGCTACGGGATATTCAAACCAAGAAATATCAAAAGTCGGGGAATGTAGAAAGGCAAGCAACCGCTGGCTACTCTTCCTAATGATCAACAGGTAAATATTCATGCTGGTTTTATAGCCCATTAGGAAACTGTTAAGTAAACTTAAGTAAAAAAAGACGAGAAGTTGCCTGCATTGGAATTGAAGGCAATCGTTGTCAATACAGCTAGGAAAACTGCATATTCAGAAGAACATTTATATATAAATGTGTGCATCCATCCAGTTACGAAAAACCTCGTTGGTGCACGTCCTGGGGCTGTTTTCCGCGTTAAGATGTTTGTAAATGTTTCATAATGTAGATTAAATGTATTTAAGGGAAACATGTTCTGCATCGGCGCGTAACTTTAATTCACAGACCAAATAAAGTAATTCTGAATAGTAGAAAGGTTAGACGTGTTTCCAATTCACAAAGTAATTCTGCCAGTAGCCAGTTTTAGCAAAGGGCTATATCAAATTAAATTCCATTTTAATTATAGGGTGATTACTTAAACGCATGTCGTTTCAAAATGTACGAATTACAGAGAGTGGTTTCGGTAGTGAACATTTTCTGTTCTTAAGGTAAACGGTCTCGTGATTGACGAATAGTTTTAAGACTTAAGCAAGACTCGTTTTAAGCTTTTAGGCAAAAGTAAATAAGGATGAGTTGATGTTGCGAAGGAGCTCTGCTGTGGCACGGCCGGTGTTACAGAAACCTCACACTGCCGATCCGGAGCGCATCTCCCGGCATGATTTAACCAGATTAATCCGGACACTACTGTCAGACGTGACACTGTTTTAATTATGATATAGCCTACTTTGATTTGGAAAAACTCCCAGCTATGGAAAAATAATGAATCAACTTTTTTGAAGGCTTATTCATAAAGTTTCTTGCACCTGCTCTCAGGAACTTTTTGGGAATCTGTTTTAGTCAATAAACCATCCATCTTCCGTTATTAATATAAACGTTTGATATAAATATGCAATATGCAATGTGTTTCTGTTTAATATATTTCTGGAAAATTTATATATAACTACGCCATTACGCACCACTGGATCTTCTCAATAACTGAAATCTAAAAGTAATCCGAAGTTTTATTTTATTCGTTAAACAAAATTTTGTTCAGCCAAGGATGGATATCTGAACATGATTACAAGTTACATGAGATCACCAGGTTTTTATGCCACATAATTATCATCGTCCTCTGATACAATATTTTGATATGTCATGTTTTTCCCATATGGTTAGTTAATCACACTACGGCCTGTAATAGAAAATAAAGGATGGTCTGGAAGTAATCATTCACAATTCACCATCAAAAATGTATAATCACACTGATGAACAAGAGGACAGTGTTGCTCCAGTCCTTGTTTTGTAGGCCTTTCAAAATCATAGGGTCACTGGATATTGGCTGAGAAGCCAATTGATCTTTCAAGCAAAAAAATAGACATGTTTATATAACAATTTTCCATTCACTTCCTCTGCATTCTGTAATTACACGCAGAAGAAAACAAATACCTGTGGGGGGGGGGGGGGGGCAAAGTCAGTATTTCACGTAGGTGTTATACAGATAAAACAGTACTGAAAACTGATGAAAAACAGAAGTGCTTTATTTTACAATGGTACAAGCAAAACTGATCATTTAACATTACTTGCCGGCCTACAGTTCATGGTTTTATTTGATTTTGGTTACATTCAAATACACAGAAAGCTATACAGCATTAACTTGAGCTTGGTGTTGGCATCAGGCTTGCTTGTAACAACTTGTGGCTGATTTTCATTAGGGTTTTATTTTCTAATGCCCCAAGTTTTTTGCAAGGACTGACTCACCACAGTCATCTATGTGCAGGAATTGGCTGACAAAGCAGTGCATGCATAACAAAAACAGGTAGCAATGTCTGACTGGGGGTCTTATCCCACATAGAGGATGTCGCTTCTGCGCAGTATGGGACCAAATCCGGATCATTCCTTGGAGCTGCACCCACTAAGGTAGCAAGAAAGGGTTTGACATTTTGAGCTTCTAGTAAAGAGAGAAAGATTTTGTTTGGATATGGGTGCCTGAGTAGTTTCATGGAAACTTGTTTACCATTGTTATTTCTATTGTCTCAGCATAAACTGAACTTTGTTCAAACCACACAGTTAACCTGATACCTACCCATTTGTTTACATATTCATGGTGACAGTTGGTTGTTTGGGTTAGTTAATTTTGGGGTTTGGTTTGACGGGAGCCATATAGCCATATTGTAAGACACTCTATTCAAAACTGGGAAATGGGGGCCTTTCTATCATCCTTAACTTAACAGGCCATCCTCACAATATCAGACACATAAACATTAACATTAGTTCAAACCACCAGGAATATGAGCAGTCTTTCCAACAATAATCTGAAAGTAGGAAGATCATTTCTAAGTAAATGGAAGAAAAACTTAAATGGATGGATTTTTAGGTGGCTGCACAAGTGCTGTAAACACCTCAGGATTTATGGAGAGTACAGTTTCCAGATCCAATAGATTTTCAAGTGCTCTAAGATTAGAATGAACTGCATGGCACATTCATAATCAGACCCTCAAATACAAAGCTAAACTATCATACCTTTCATCTGCAGAAAAGAAGGCAGTTTGCAAGGAACTTCCAAATTAAATCTGACCTTAAAAGTAAAAAAAAGCATAACAAAATTACAGATGGTGGATTAGAACTGGAGGAGTTTCCAGTAACAGATGGCCTCAGTCAACAGTATGTTTGCTTTTTGGTTGCACGTGGTGTAATGCATTCAAGTTATAGAACTGTGTGATCTGACAAATTTGTAATTTGCACGGTGTTTTTTTTTTCATTTTGTTTCTAATTTTGTCGTAGACAGAAGTAAATTAATTTTACTCTAACTATAATATAATTCCATACTCTAACTACACGCTGTGTAAAGAAGTGCTTTCTCAAATTAATTTCAAAATGTTCTCCCACTAATTTCCACTTATGGCTACGAGTTCTAGTATTTAAACCAAGGGTCTCAAACTCCGATCCTGGGGGGGCGGAGCCCTGTGTAGCTTAGTTCTTTCCCTGTTCCATCACAAGTGATTCAGGTCAAGAGCTGTGTGGTAATTAGCACAAGGAGATGAATCAGGTGTGTTAAATGAGGGGAAACCCAAAAATGTGCAGGACTCCGGCCCTCCAGGATTGGAGTTTGAGACCACTGATTTAAACTAATATTGAAATAGCCATTTGGCTGAACAACATCCAGACCTGTTCGAATCTTATAGACCTGGATCATGTCCCCCCTTAGTCTCTTTTGATCGAGGCTAAACAGATTCAGCTCAGCTAACCTCTCCTCATAAGACATTCCTCTAAGACCAGGAATCATTCTTCTAGCCCTCCGTTGCACCCTTTCTAAGGCAACAATGTCCTTCTTAAGGTATTGTGACCAAACCTGCACACAATATTCTAGGTGGGGTCTTGCCAAGGAATTATACTTGTACTCATTTTTAAGTCATTGACCTTAGTTACATTAGTGACCTTTTTATAGGAAAGGGAGGAAAATTTAGAATGTAAAATGCCAAATGAAATATGGAGTTAGCACTTTCAGACACACATCTTTAGTGCCAGGATGATGCATTAACATGCTTGATTAGTCAATTAGTGTGCTGTATGTCAACGTATTACATTATCAGGAAGAGGGCAGGATGGCAGGGCCTAGTAATGTAGACATTCTTATGGCAAGTGTTTCATTTTAACTTTTCGGTAGGCCTATTTAATTGTTAGATTTTGAAAAATTGAAATAATCAAAAATTGTATTGGGTTATTCAACAAATTAGTTTTTGTGTTAGTAACTGGGAAAAAAAAACTGTGTGATTAATCAATACAAGAACAATAGTTTCCTTTGGGTGGTCTGTCACAGCTGTTTTCTGCTTATCTTGTGTGCAGAGCTCCCATTCTTGCTGAGGTGCATGGCCCTGATGAAAGAAGACTGAGCTTCACTACTGTGGGATTTCTTTGGTTTAGCCAAGGCACGGTACGGGGCAGAGAAGCAGCTTCCTAGTCCAGTTGGTCCTGTTTTCTGCACAGGTTGGTCCTATGAATGTCCCAAACTGTTCCTCAGAAGGTTCTTCCAAAAACTTTTCCAAAGCAGTAGAAGTGGAGCCCTCGTCAGCAGAAGCGATGGATAGTGTGCGGGCCAGCCACTACAGTGTCGTGCCCTCCAGAGTAGATGGCCCCAAGTTGCCCACTGTGGCCGTGTCCAATGGTCACAGCAATGGTGATAGCAAGGTGCACATGTGGCAGTCGGTGCCATGTCGTTTCGTCAAGAAGGATGGACACTGCAACGTGCACATCATCAACATGAGCGAGAAAGGCCAGCGCTACATAGCCGACATCTTCACCACCTGCGTGGACATCCGTTGGCGATGGATGATAATCATCTTCTGCTTGACCTTTGTGGTTTCGTGGTTGTTCTTTGGCTATGTTTTCTGGCTGGTGGCCTTCTTCTATGGTGACTTGGGGAATAGCTCCCAGCAGTGTGTCTCCAATGTCAACAGCTTCATGGCAGCCTTCCTCTTCTCTGTGGAGACACAGACCACTATTGGCTATGGTTACCACCATGTGACGGAACAGTGCCCCATTGCTATCTTTATGGTGGTTTTCCAGTGCATTGTTGCCTGCATCATCGACGCCTTCATCATCGGTGCCGTCATGGCCAAGATGGCCAAGCCCACGAAGCGCAATGAAACTCTGGTGTTTAGCCACAACGCTACAATAGCAATGCGGGACGGCAAGCTATGCCTGATGTGGCGAGTTGGCAACCTACGCAAAAGCCACCTGGTGGAGGCCCACGTAAGGGCTCAGCTACTCAAGTCCCGGACCACCGCCGAGGGGGAGTTTATCCCCCTAGACCAAGTAGATATTGATGTGGGCTTTGACACTGGCATAGACCGGATCTTCCTTGCTTCCCCCATGACCATCGTCCATGAGATCAACGAGGACAGTCCCTTCTATGATATGAGCAAGCAGGATTTTGAGACTGCTGGATTTGAGATTATGGTCATCCTGGAGGGCATGGTAGAAGCCACATCCATGACAACCCAGTGCCGCAGTTCCTACCTGGCAGGGGAGATCCTCTGGGGACACTGCTTCGAGCCTGTACTCTTTGAGGAGAAGAACTACTACAAGGTCGACTACTCTCATTTCCACAAAACCTATGAGGTGCCGAGCACTCCGCTATGTAGTGCGCGGGAGCTTGCAGAAAAGAAGGATAATGAGTCCAGCTCTAACTCTTTTTGCTATGAGAATGAAGTGGCAATGATGGACAAAGAGGAGGCGGAGGACAAAAGCGAGTACAGCAATGATGGGAGCAGTTCACAAAAGGCTTCAGAGTTGGAGCGCAATCTCTTCATGACATTCAAACGAGAATCTGAGATTTGACTGCACAGTTGATGGGAAGGGAGTTTTTAAGCCTTGAGTGTTCATGAAAGCCCCGATGAGGTATTACTATTATTATTACTATTATTGTAGGCCTAAGAAACAAACTGTACCCCCCTTACAAGGACTGAAAAAAACACAGCACTAGGACAGAGTGCTGTGAGGTTGTGCACATAGTGATGGAGATTATTCTCCAGACAAATGTTATGCATGCGTGTGAAAAAGGTCACAGAACAGCAAAGAGACAAACAAAATGGCAGGATGCTGCTGAAATTTAAAATAACAGGCATGCTTTACAGGTCATCAGCCTGTTGAGTAACCAGACCAAGATGGGTTAAGTAGCATTGTTTCCCTGTTTACTCATGTTATTAGATATTGCTGCTATACGAAATGCTCTAAATTGTACATTTATTCATATTAAAGGGAAAAGAATTTTTGAGACAATAGAGTAGCACTTTAAAAGGAGCATGTGTGTGTAAACACAATATGCTTCTAACATCTTAATTTGTTATCAGAAAGCTGTCCTGTTTTTGCACATAATCTTTTAGATTTAGGCTGTCTGACGGCAAGACTACTGTTTAGCTATGGATACAGGCATGGCAGAAGAAAGACTCATGCCAGGAGAGAAGTCTCACTCTTGTACTGCCATCTGAGGTCTTGTGTGCACATTAGGCCAAGTCTTTGTTAGTTCCCTGAGTGCTCTTTGAGGAAGTGTGTATCTACCAGTCTCCTGAAGGCAGCCATCGTCTACTCACTCCAAAGTCAATGCAAAGAATTGACAGCTAGCAAAAAGCAATTTAAAATTTATCCTGTCTTTTGTGATACGATGGCTGTAATCCCGTCTAATTTTTTTAAATGTCACTTGATCTGTTAATGAGCTGGTATCTTAACAGAGGAGCTGTTAATAAGCAGGGTTGCTTTTCTTACAATTTGGAGATGAATGCGACATGATCCTTTCTTTTCACGGAATGTTCCATTCTTGTTCAGTGATTGCAGGTCATGCATGGTGAGTGGGGGTGTGTGTGTGGGTGGGGGGGGGTCACAAGAACTTATTTATAGTACATTATTTGACCCGTCTTTCACTTGTCAGATTCTATCATTACTCTGCAATATGATACCATGCTTTCTAAAAGGCCATCCCTTTTAAAAGAAATAATCCTGTGTAATATACAGAAAGAATAATTATATATATATATATTCAATTATATATATATAATTGTTCAATATGCACAAGAGACATATGCCTTACATGTTTGGTTGTGTTTGAAGGACTATTTTTAATTCTTGTCATCATATGAGGAGCTTTAAATGTCAAACTCCACCCAGCAGCACCATGAGAGAGTGGCCTGAGCCTGGCTGGTTTTTATGGTCGCATGCCTGTTTCTGACTGGTGGATTTGGGGTGGGCAACCCCCTGATATTATGGTCAACCCTCTTTGGCAGTAGGCAGCGGTGTAAAAGTAGATTAAGTGTGAAGAATTAGGAAATGACATACTGTGTGGCTCTGAGGCGGGCTGGATGTGACACATGCAACTCCACAGTGATAAAAGGAGGGGAAATGTACCAAAAAAATCAAAACTGGGATTAACATTCAAATTTGCTACCTATATGATAACAGATGCTACAGGTTCGCAGACATTAATAATATCACTGTAAGGTCTTGGAGAATTATTGTATGTATGTTACAAATATAAGTTTTAGGATGGAACCATTTTTAGAACATTACCTTGGAAACGGCACCACTGATATCCAAATTCCATGGTTCCCTTTCAGGTCCTTTAGTAGTCTGGTACCCCTGAAGTCGCATGTGACACAGAGTCACTAGGCCCAAGTCGGTCCAGATCAGTTAGTCATGGGTCCTGCTCCAAATGCCAAAGCTCTAAGAGATCACCACTCTCGGTCTACACTTCTAACCTACCACGGTTTGTCTGGAGAGATTCTGGAAGAATTTCGTCCCCTGCTTAACCCAAATCACCAATTGAAATTGTAACTTTAAACTCTGTCAGAAAGCCCTTCCCATGTGCAATCTTTTTTGTAACAGTCTTCCTACTGTATTGAAAATACACACAACGCACAGATTTTTATAAAAACAGATAATATAATAACTGTTATTGTTGTAAGTCTTTTTCAATAAAACAGAAATGATGAAAAAGTTCTAGATTTGTATTTGCACTGGTCTTATATTTTATTTCATAGTCACTCTGTAAGATCAAACCTCAAGTGAAAATAAAAAAAAACCTATGGCAAAATATATGGAATCACTTCTCTTGGAGGATGTTCATTCAACTGTTTTACTTTGTAGCAAAAACACAAATGACAGTTATAACACAAAACATTTTGATTTGTAAAACATACCTAAAAATGTTGTAAGGAATCACCTTGTAATTTGCATTTCTAAAACAAATAAATAAAGTCTAAATATGCAAATTAGTATACAGTTATTTGAGAGCACTTGCACCTGGCTGATTGACTGGAAACATGGCCCCAACAAAAGAGCTATCAGTCAAAACAATGGAAAGAATTATGAAACTCCTTCAAGAAGGTAATTCAACATGGAGTGCAGCAAAAGATGTTGGTTGTGTCTAAAATTTAGAGCAAGTACAAACAAAATGGGAAGGTTGTAAAAGGGAAACATACAGGTAGACCAAGAAAGATATCAGAACGTCAGGACAGAAGACTCAAAGCAATATGGCGTGGAAATAGAAAATGCACAACAAAAGAAATGGAAAACAACTGGGCACAAACAGAGTCAATGTTTGTGACCAAACTGTAAGAAATCGCCTGAGGGAGATGGGATTTAGGTGCAGAAAAGCCAAACATAAACCATCATTAACACCTAAACAGAAGAAAACAAGGTTTCAGTGGACTAAAGAGAAGCAGTCATGGACTGTGGATGATTGGATGAAAGTGGTATCCAGTGATGAATCATGAATCTCCACTGGGCCAAAAAGATGATGCTGGAACTTTTGTTTGGTCCAATGAAATGTATGCATAGACTGCCTAGAGAGAATAGGTACATTTCCATAGTCATTGATGTGATGGGGATGTGGGTCAGGACCAGGGGAGAAGGCAGTGATCACCTCTACAGGAAATGTAGAGGTGAACATTATGGACACTTTTCAGATTGCATCAATCTAAGGTCGGTTTGGTGATAATAAGTCATTTTACAGAATGATAATGCATCTCACCACAAAGCAAAAAGCGTTAAAACTTTTCTTCAAGAAAGGCATAGCAACTCAATGACATGGCCAGCAAACAGTCTGGATCTCAATTAGATTGAAATTCAATGGTGGAAACTGAAAAAAGTGGTACATGACAAGGCTTCACCCTGCAAAGCTGATCTGTCAACAGCTATACAAGAAAGTTGGAACCTGACTGGTGAATAATATTGTTTTTCATTAGTAAAGTCCATGCGTCAAAGAATTCAAATTGTCATAAAAGCCAGAGGAGGTGCAACAAAATACTAATTGTGATTTTTATGGCTCATGATTCCATAACTTTTTCCTCACCATGGAGTGATTCCATATGTTTTCTTCTACTTGATCTGAAAAAAAGTCCCATTAGTTACAACAATTTCATTTGATTTTTTTTTTACAAAGCCAAAATGTTCGGCTGTTAAATAGCATAGTTTTGTGTCATAACTGTGATTTTTTATTTTTTGCTATAAAATAAAACAGCTCATGCATATAAGAACATCCTCCAAGAGTAGTGATTCCATATTTTTTGCCATTGGTTGTATTTCCCAGCTGTATTTCCTTAAAAATAGACCCACTGTTCACTCCTATAGGAAAAGGGACAGACAATCAAACCCCCATGCATTTCCATAATATGTTGTATTTTCACTTGACATCAATTGAAATTTTGCAAGTTCTTTATTCTCATATTGGTATTTGACTGACTTTACACAGTTTGATATTTGGCCAGCTGTGCCATCGCAGATCATGGCCCATTCAGAGGACACATACATGGAATTCAGCTCCCAGGATGCAAATGTCATACAAAATTCTCATTAGTAAATCCTCAATGAAGTTGTTTCATATCAGAAAACTTACCACAGCTTGATGTGGTAACTCTGAGCCTTAATGTTTGAGAAATAATAATAAAAAAAACACATTTACTTTAAAATCTTTGAACAGCAAGTCCCGTTTATATAATTGAATCTCTTTATATTTTCTGTAAAGAGGAAACTTCTAAAGCAGAAATAAAAACACACACAGCCAGCTTACTAGAATTACACACGGAGAAAATGCAGCTAATTTTAAATGCAGTAGAATGCATTTGCAAGATCAATTTGAAAACTAGATTTGATTCTACTTTCATTCTATTTTCAGTATCCCTTTGCCCCCAGGTATTTTTCCACATCATATAACCATCATCTGATACTCTTAGGTGGAGGAGCTCTAGTCTAATTCAGTCAGTCATACTTCACCACAACATTACGGTTTATGCCACTTTCAAACATATAGGTGTCTGCATGAAACTCACCATTCTTTTTCCAAGCCATCAATTGCAGGTAAGCAGTCTAAGATTCAGACCTACCATCCTGTGGTGCAAGAGCTAGTGAAAGGCTGACGGGGAAAACTCAGAACATGTAATGTTCTTTTGAGAATGGTAGGAAATGAAAATAGTGCAAAATACTGGCCAAACAGGCCATGATGTTTGGCAATACTAAAAATCAAACTGAACCCTATAAAATGTAACGATTACTAAAAACTCCCATAAATATCTTGTGAAATGTATTTATTTACTTATTTCTCTTCAATAACCATTTTTAGCCAATTGCCTAATAGGTGCCTCTTCAAGGACGAAATCCATATTTACCGGGCGTTCCACAGAACCTCCTAAGTCATGGTCCTTTCAAATATGAGTATTACGGTCAGTGCAAATAGATTAAGTTTGAGTCTGCAGCACATTCAGCCATATCAATTGCATTCTGGGTAGATTCACTATTACTGAGAAAATCAATGCTTCATACTGATGATGTAAACAGGGCAGATTGTTCAGAGGTCAGTCAGATTGTAACCTTGTTATGTAATCTGTTCCCTGTCCCATTATAATGATTGTCTCTGTGGAGTAGCTGTGTGTGAGAGTGTGTGCATGAGAGAATGACAGGTGAAGGCTGATGGGGGACTCCCCTCTGACTGGATGTGGACACACTGGAGGACACAGCTGGCTCACACCACTGAAGTGTCAAATGTTCAGGCCCACCAAGGGATGCCAGCATCTGAAAAGCTGTCTCAATAAGCCTAAAAAGGTGGTTACAGATGGTTACAGAAGGAAATGTGAAAAAACTGAAAATGTTTTATGCAGGGAAAACCCAGAACATGTGGATCCATGCTCTATGCAAACGGTAAGAGCAGAATCTACAGGGAACATACTTGTCTATCAATATTTTTGACAATACTTTGGAGTCCTTTTTGACTTGTGTTGATAAATACACAGGTCTACAATTTTTTTTTTCAGGTGCCAAGGTTTTTTGAATGGATTTAAGGTATTTTGAGGGTGCTGATTTAAAAAATCGCATTACTTTTGCTGAATTGGTTCTAGTTTTTGAGATAATGGACATCCATGATAATAATGCATTCCCCCAATGCGACTTGTGTTTGATAACAAATGCAATAACTTTTGGTCTGTCTTTTGACTCTTTAACAGTGTCTTAGGTAATGAAATGAATGATGAAGTGTTGAAGAGAGTCTGAAAATAAAATTAGAGTAAAGTTCACATGTGCGTGTTTGCATGTTCATTTATTGCTGCTGTTACCGTGGTGGTGAATATTTACCCAGATCAAATCTGCCAAGTCCTTTCAAAGGATGGGCATCATGGGAACACCTGTCTGGCATTTAGCCAGAAATGGTTGAAATGCTTGTGATAGGGCCATGAAAAAATGTAGTTTTGCCAGAAGAAGGGGATCCATGTTGCAGCTGTGAAGTCCTCTCTTCTGCCTGGTACAGAGTGGAAAAGAAGATGTAGTGCTTTGAGCACTTTCTCCACCATCCACACTTCAAAACCAGTCTTGAATGAGTTGTGAAGGGTATATAGGCCACAACTTCCTACAATTACTAACTGTGCCCCAGCAAATTGCTCACTACAGTGTGAATGTCATCATTGGACGTATAGGAGTGATGTCAGCTAACCATTTGCAAAGCCCATAGCAATTCTCCTGTCAGTGTGTCGGTTGAGGAGAATGTACTGAAGGCATTGCTTGTCGTGGGATCCGGAGACACTACCAAAGTGGGTGTAGGCCTATCTGTAGAGTTTGTACTTGCAGGACTGGCAAACAACTGAATGGTGACAGTTGTTGTCTGACTTTCAACTAAACGCTTGTGCTTCTCTCCCCTGATATATGAGTCGATGGCTTTAGAGCCCATTATTGCCAGTTTGATTACTTTTTTTACAAAGGTCGCATCGCACTCCATAGACATTAATCGTCTTTTTCAACCAGCCACAGTACTTTTTTTTGAAGCATTGACATTAATAGCAATTAACAACTAATCAATATTGTATTATTTAATCAAAACATACATACTGTAACTTTTTCCTGTCACTGTTAGATATTTTGAATTTCTTTTTTGTATGATGTTAGACTGTTTACTTACTAGTTGTAATTAAAATAAAACTATTCCTGCTATTTTGAATGCTTTTCAAACGTGTTGCGTTAATTAATTAATTCATTAGTCAATTAAGTATTTCTCAGAAACTAGAGCCAATCTGGCAAAATCAAAGTCATATTCTTAATCAGCACCATAAACTTAATATAAAACTGTTCAGACATCGTTGGCACCAAAATCACTGTATACCAGTGTTATGTATTTTTGATTGTTCCCTCTGTCAAGAAAAGCTAGCTCTAATATACACCTTATATTTTGTACTTGGGTACAGTGACAAATGTGTTTATGCCCAAAGGGCTGATGCGTGGAAGATACTGTGCAAACAGAGCAAGCCATCTTGACAGTGCTAACGTCAGCATGTTGTGGGTATGTACAGGGCTGATGACAGGGCAGAGAAACTGGGTCATTGTCCCTGGGCCCTAGGTCAAGAGGTACCAAAAATTGGCCCTCTGACCTTTAAATAATCTGCTGGAATAATTCAAAAATACATATCTGTGAAAACCTTATACAGTATTTTTAGTTCACTTAAAAGCTTATTATTTTTTAACTTCC